AACCAAAAACGACGTCGTTTTGTTGGTAAAAGTTCAACTGCCACACATTAGCCTATTTATGGTAATTCTCTCTTTTTGTGGCATGGGTTCCAAACTCATGAATCGATTCACAAAATAAATTAATGTGGTGATATAATTTGCAAAAGTTTAAAGTTGAAAGGTCGTGATTAAAATGCAAATTCGCCAAAGGTATAAATAATAAGTGCAATTTTGTCTATTCTATTTTTGGTTCCTAAGCATCAAAATTTACTTATTGTAGAGTTGTAAACAAGTCGAGCCAAACTCGAGCTCGAGCCCTTAAGGAGACAAAAATGGAACTCGAGCTCCAGCTCGTTTAATATTAACTAGATAAGCTCGAACCCGAGCTATAGAAAACTATACAAAAATTAACTTTTTGAGCCTTAACAAGCCTTATCGAGACAATTGTTAACTAAACGAGCTTTAGATAAGCTCAAACTTGACTTGTTCATGAGACGAGCCAATTCGAGCTCACAAGTGGCTCAGTTGGTTTAACAACTCGTAACTTCTTCTATCATCCCAATGACTGCAGCAATAAATATCAACTGCAGCAATAAATATCAAATCAAACACTAAACCACACATGAAAAAAAGAGCAGTCACCAGAACCAACTACAAAAAGGCTGTAAATTTAACACACATGTATAATAATATGCAGAAATTGTAGCAAGTACACTACACAGTTGGCCCATTTTAACTGTTTCAAATTTTATTGGGCTGGACTTTACAACCAGCCACAGCAGTGAAAAGGAGAAGAAGATGGAATCCGGCCCGTTAGGCGAATGTATTCTGCCTGGGCCGCTGTTTTCTCAGCCTGTCGGTTTTTCTTGGCTTCGGCCGAGGCCCGTTTTTCCTCCGACTTTTGCCTTGCCAGTGCCACCTTCTTCACCATCTTTGCTTGAGCTTGCGCTCGCATTTGCTCGATTTGGGCCTGAAGATACAAACCTCACACTTTAACCACAAAAACTTTAATAATCATTCGAAGTAAATTGCACTACAGCCTCAAGCCATGGAGTTTTTTTTGCACAATACTACTTCCTTTTTCATTAATTGCACAACGCTACTTCCTTTTTCGCATCGTTCAGAGAAATTGCTTCCCGTTTTTCAATCACGTAAATGCAGGTGTCAGATTTTGATTTATCTATGGGCCAAAATGAANAATTTTCCTCATTTCAGCTTCGAGCTGCGCTTTCTGCTGACTTTCCCACGCCTGAATCCTTATTTCTTCCCTTTTGAACCTGAAAAACAAACAAATTCACTACCTTTCAATTAACACACTGAGCAAACTCCACAAACATAAAACTAAAAAAACAAAAATCAAAAAAAGAAAAAAAAAAATACCTTGCAGAGTGTTTCGACTTCTCAGCTTCCTCCCATGCAGCTGCCCTTTTCGCATACTCGACCTGCTCGGCCTCATCATCGTCATCACCCACATTTTCATTTCCAGAAATACCCTTCTCATCCTTGCTGGCCCACGCTGCAATGTTCATCTTGCCCAGCTGGACACCGAGCGCCACAATCTCCCTTCTCGTCCTCAGCTTCATTTCCTGCTCGGACAATTCCTTTCTTCCGCTGGGCTCGGCTGTTTTATCCTGAGGGGTCTGATTGCAAATATCGTGTTCTGTAGGGGTGGGGGCCGGCGCCCCCCGGCGTGGAGTCGAAGGAATGGAAGAAGTCGGGCTGCGAAGAGGGGTCGTGGAGCTGACTGGGGTGGGGCTTCTAGAAGGTTCCTGGCTCGGGATAGGGGTCATTTCTGTTCCCATGTCTCGCATGGACACCGATCTTATGGCGGGACCTGCTGTATGTGATTCAAGTTACCAACTTTGACTTCATTAAGTTGAAATTATGCATATTCGAGGAAAAATTTTGCGATATGGGCAGAGTAAAGACCAAGTTTTTTTCGGAAAGGACTTTCATATGAACTTTGCTCGAATGATACTACTTACAAATTCACAAATTCAACTTCACGTGTATGTTTAAAGGTAAAAACTAGTTGATAAGTTAGCATATAGCTTATGAGTGATTTTCTAGCTTATAGCTGAAAAGCTAGCTTATGCGATAAAATTGGTTGGTAAAATTAGCTGGTAAGCTAGCTAACTGAAATAAGAACTTAAACGAGCTTATTTTGAAAAGCTACCAAAAAGAAACTTATGAGATAAGCTCGAATTTCTTAAAAAAGCTCGTCCTACCAAATGAAACTTATTTGAATACAAGAAAGTTTATAAGCTAATAGAAGTTATAATCTAGCTTATTTGATTATCAAACATAGCCTAAAAGGAAATTTTCCGATTGGCTGCACATAATAAATAAAGACTGAAGAGAAAAATGAGAACTTTCAAGGAAAGGTCAAAGGTGACATGCATCTCTAGTTTTAAAAAAATGTGGCTTCTTTCCTTCAAATTTCACCAAGAAAAGATCATCATACAAAAAGCACATAAGAAACAAAGTCAAAGCTTGTAAAAGAGGGGAATTAGTAATAATCACCATTATTTTCATCAGTCACACTCTTGGTGCTCGGCAAACCCGAATCAACATCATCCACCTCCATCAAATCCTTACTCTCCGGACACAAATCCACAGTCGGGCCCAAACCGAACTTAGACGGGCCCGTTTGCAAAGCGGGCTGAACAAAGTCGACCCGTTTAACCAAAGCCTTGCTCTCCAGGCCCGCCAGCTCAGGCGCCACACGAACCATGCTCCCGCCCGAAGTCCTATTCCCCTGATTTTGCGAATTCGACCTCTTTAAAGTACTCGGCTGAACAACATTTTGCCTGCTCATTATCCATTTCTCGGCATCATTCCATTTTGACGAGACGGGCCTCATCAGTGCTCGTGTGGCGGCCGCGTGCTGATGTGGCGGCTTGTGATCTCCCTTGTGGAACTCAAAGCTCGATGTGCTGTCATAATCGAGATTCTCATCTTCGATTGTTCGAACTGGGTGGACCGAGCTGGACCCGGTTGACTCGGGCTGAGCCCGAGTTCGAGCTGAGTCCCCATTGGACGAGGTGATATCTGATTTAACGGGCTCGACTTCTAAATTCAAAGCTGAAGAAAATATCACAAGGGGGAAAAACAGAAAGAACAATAAATGATTCATTTAATATTGTTTAAAATTGAGTGAAGTTAAAGCTATTGAGAAAAAAAAACTTCAGAAAACTGTAATCACTCTACACAACTGTCTCAGTTAGAGTAATTATTATTATGAACTATCAGCAATTACTTTGGAGCCAATAAAGGCAGTTCAATATTGGTTCAGACCCCAAGGTTGACCAGCTGATTTTATTTTTTTTTGCCTGAATCTGCTTTTTTTTTTATTTTTTTTCTTTCTTTACTAGGAATTTAAGAGTTAGGAGTTAGGGCTATCCAGCAATGGAGAAAAAGTGAAGGGTCTAATAACAAATCAACAAACCTTCCTCTGCAGAATTTCCATCTCTGTCTGCTAACAAGCTGTTGTTGACGAACTCTGAGTCTTCTTCTAGCCTAGAAGGTGATGTTCTGGAAGAATTACAATTCGATCCATCTTTTTTCCTCTGGGACCCAATAAGCTTCATCCTCAACTTACTAGGCGATATAATACCAGTCTGCACCAAAATCAAGAAAACCACAGAACAGATTATAAGGATAACGAATAAATTCAACAAATTCAGTACTAGCAAATTCTAATTTCTTCCCCTAATGAACACTACGAAAAAGAGGGGTGGAAAGAGATTCAATCTTTGATTTCAGACAAGAATTGAAAAAAAACAAACATTTCATTCATCTTGTTCAAAAACCCAAATGACAGGAAAAAACCAGTGACCCATTAACGGGTAAAGCCCGGATATAGGTAATTAAAAAGACAAAAAACAAAGAATCACACTCAATACCTGAACTTTGTGTATCCTCTCGTACTCCATAACGAGATCCTCTCTCTCTCTGTTATTATTCTCCTTCTCTTTTTTCTCTCACACGCACAAACGCAAAACAAAATTAGCAAGAGAAGTATTGAAAATGGTGGTCTAGAGAGAGAAAGAGAGCGAGATGTGAAGGATAGCTGGTAAATAGCTAAAAAGCACCAAGAACATAGCTAAACTGATCTGATGATTCTTGATATAGCGATGTGTGTGTTTTGAGAGAGAAAAAGTGCTTATTAAAGCTGGGGATAAAGGTTGGCAATGTATTACAGTAGCGTTGACTGTACACTTGGCAACTATTTGTATTTTTTTTTTTTTTCTCAATATTTTCCATTTGCCATCACTATTTCTCGAAGAAATTGAAATCAATATAAAATTTTGAAAATGTAGTTCCAATCACCAAAATTCGAGTTCGACTCGTTAATACTGATAAATGAGTCACGATTAAATTCGATTATTAACTTAACAAACTGAATTCGAATATTAGAACTCATTATTACTATCCAAGTTTATTCAAAAAAGAAAAGGGTCATGTGTAATACTATCTCTTACTTATTATTATCCAATTTCATTCTCATTATTCTAAACTACTCGAGATTATGTTTGAATTAATTTTCTCTCACGGGTCCTTTTTCTAATTATATTGCCAAAAGAGATGTAGCAATGAATGATTACAGTGGCTGAAAGTACTTGCAAAGGCCAAATTTTTGAATTAATCTCAGCGGAAAAATCATTGTTCAAATTGAATCTCTGTCACATTCAATCAGAGCAGAAGGGAAAATATTGAGAAATATTATGACACCTTAATAATTGGTCCAGTGTGACATTAATCTATTCATTTCTCCGTGGGCCCAATTTAGAGTTTTATCTTTAAACAATTGTTGTATAAAAAATTAAAAATTAACGTGCAATAAGCAATAATGACTATAGTATGTTTGAGGTTTAAAAGATCAACGTTTTGATAACTCTGGCCTCTGAAAAAACCTCCCAAAATTGAAAAGAGAAACAAAAAAAGAAGAAAACGACAACAACAATAATAATAATAATACTAATAAAAATAAAAAATATAATATAAATTATAGTGTCTAGCGATTTAACTGTTAATTTATCAACACATCATATCATACATTTATAAAAACAAAACTACACATCTATATCTATATCTATATATATATTATATCTATATCTATATATATATATAAAGAGGTTGTTAGAAAATACATTAGTAGAAAGTTTGACCAAATAAATATAATGTTTTATTTACTATATATTAATGGAATGTTAAAAAAAACACACGTGAATCTTTAGTAACAAAATCTAAACCCTATTTTTTAGGTAACAAATTTGGAGATTTTTAGGGTAAAATTTGAATTCCATTTTTTTCGTATCATATTTTATTTTTTATCAAAATTTAATCATATTTTTTTTGTAACAAATTTGGAGATTTTTATGTAAAATGTGTCGATTATTTATGAAAACAATTCTAAATACAAATTAATTTAAAAACTGTGCAAATTGAATATAAATTTAGGAAGCAAATAGTAGTATAATTATTAAAATAAAGTTGATATTTGAACGGGATATACATTTAAAATTGTGTCACATTTTTTAGTAACAAAAGCGGATCATCATTGATAAATTCGAATACATATTTACGTGCTAAAGAATCAAATCAACAATGTTGTACATAAGGAAGTGTTTAATAACATATAAAATTTATTTTCATGAAATTTTTATATTCAAAAATACTTTTTAAAAAATAAATAGATAATAAATGATCCGGTGCATCGCACGAGTATCTTACTAGTTCTTATGTAACCAGACATAGTAATTTTGTTTTTGTCAGGATTTTAAAATGCATATTTTAATTTGAAAGTATGTTTGCTAATAAAAAGTTATTATGATTGTTTGACAAATATCAGTTGTACTGAAATACAGTATATGCTACTATATTTTTACGTGGGTCCCAAAGAATTGTTGAAAACTTCTTTATAGAAAAGAAAAAAGGAAAAAGTGAGATTGTTACATTTAATGATGGATTGTTGGGTTAATAAGCAAGTCTCAACAATTTTTTAAAATGTAATATTAGAAATTAATGATGACCTGTTCTTTATTTCTACTTAAATTCAAATGTAAATTAGTCTACAAAGATGGATTGGTGTACCAACTACCAACTGAAAACATATACGTACTAATTAGTATATTCATAATTATGTAATGTACGTCATTTTACTCAGCTTTGACTCAAGTAGAAAATTAGAACCTGAGACATATGATAGACTTGCAAAAGTGATTCCTTAAATAAAAAAAAAAATAGCATGTTATAAGTATGCATATTTAACAATGAAATGCTATATTTAAATGTTCTACTTCTAAATACAAATACATATAAAAAAAATGAAATTTTGTAATATGAGTATGCATATTTAACAATAAAAAAGTATATGAGCACCATATTTTAGAAGGTTTCAATTATTATTAAAAATATATGTTGTTTTTTTCGTCATTGAGACAAATAACTAAATTAGGGCCCATTCACTCATATTAGATTTTAAATATCAATAATATTTATTTAAGTTGTGGACCACAAAATTTTTTATTTTATTTTTATATTTATTGAAGAGAGGTGAGCTATAATGATTGTACATACGAGTCCAAAATTGTGAAACTTTGATATATGTGTAGAGCATAGTAGTTGGGTATCTGATCCTTTTTACTTATTTCAGAAGTTATGTTGTACAAATGGGTACAATGGCTTTGCAGGCCTATGAAATGAAAAGAGAGAGCACCAATTATTATCATTTTCTTTGTTTCTATTGCTAAACCAATAAGAAAAAAAAAAAAAAGAAAAAAAGATACAGATTTCTTCTTAATATTTTATAACTTGTTTAACTGTTTCCATTTTTCCTTTTCATCTAATTTATTTTTTTACGAAAGAGGCCGACTCGAGTCGGGATTATAATTTTATCGAACTATGCTCGATTTTTTGTTAAGTATTGTTTGATCTTGACAAACTAATATTTTAAGACTTATTAGATCATAATTATTCAAGATTTACTCAAATTTTAAAGGTACCATTTTTTTTGACATTTTCAATAAAAAAATTGTTTGAAATTATGGTATTTAAATAAGTTACACGTATACTAACTTGAGTGGCTCGTCGAACATTGAGTTTACAAACTACAAGCTTATGCTCAACTCAAAGTTTAAATTAAAGTACTCGAGCTATACTCGTAATTGGAATTTTTGATATATTAATTATCATATTTTTCATGTATTTTTCGATGTGTTAGTTGTGGATTTTAATATATTCGTATGATTTTCTTATATATATATTCTTAACTGTATAATTTCCCTATTTTAACTTACTAAAATTTGTCCTTCAAGCGCTGACAAGCAACTTACAGAAATGTTGGAATCATTTACAGCCCTTATGCTATGATTACCAAAACAAATAATACAGTCATGTTATGGAGCCATCCTGATTGAAAAACGTATTTCAGATTTATTTGAAAAACGTAATAGCATTTCCTACAAATAATAATATAATAACATGCACTATATTTTTGTATTTTTTCATAAAATTAATTGAATCTCATCAAGATAATTGTACATGAGGATATACTTGATCAGAAATGCATATAAAATGAAAAGATAATTTTTACTAAGCGACTATCTTTGTTAACTCATAATTTTTTGGTGTGAGCCCTTGATTAGGCTAGTGCGCATTTTGAATATAAATGTATACATATATTATAAAATGTCAACGATTACATTTGTATTTTTTTAAATCCAATACAAAGTTCTCATATTTCAATGAGTATTTCAATGGTACAACTTCGGGAATGATCTCAATAGAAATTTTAACGAAAATATTATGTTGGAATGAGTTTTCAATTGGAAATTAATGATTCCAATAACCATATTTTCAACGATTTATTACCGTAAAATTTTCGTTAAAATTTTTATTTTCACCCATATTTTTAATCGTTGCAAAAAATCTAACTTTAAATCATAAAAATTTAACGAAAATTCTAATGAAAATTACATTCTAACCTAATATTTCGTTGCAATTTCAATTGAAAGTTATTAAAAGATTCATACGAAAATAATAATATTGAAATAACTATTAGAATCACCGTTGAACTACATATATTTCTATTGAAATTTCATATTCTTTTCAGAATGAATTATATCACTTATACATTGAAGTATGTATATTTATTGAAAAAAAATATGATTACATAATCATGATTAGCATACTACCATCTCTACCCTTGTGGTGATGTACATGTTAATGAGACTACTCCCCGATAATCACGCCATTACTTTGTGTTGATTTTAGGCAAACCTTTCCNTGAAGCACCAATCAACTTTAAGACCAACCTCAAATTCCTCATTGTTTCTTTATAGAAAGAAGAGGATGACATATTAATTTTTAATTCCCTTCCCACACTAACTACGTCACTTTAATTTTGAGCCCTCTTATCCCACACAAGTTATAGTCATAATTGACCTAATTGTTAGACCTGTCATAATTAAATTATTAATCATCCATCATACATTTATAGTAAAAAAATTATATATTTAATTATACTATTAAATATCATATTTTTATTTATATTCTTTGAAGAGTATATCATTTAAATACAAAGCGTATTTATTAAAAATATATGTTTGTTTAATATTTAATTTGCCTAACATCAGTTTACACAAATGTATTATTTTCTTTATGGAAAAATTAGTTAAATAGTATAGAGCAAATGCTTCCAAGTTCAATCAATGCCCGTCCATCATGTGAATGAATGAATCAGAGTGCCAGCAAAATATTAGGATACTGAATTCCATAATGTGACCAACCCAATGGGCACAAAACCCTAGCCCCTATGAAAGTATATTAATATTTTCATATTAATATTTTCATATATAACAAACAATAATCTAAAAAGACTAAAATACATAAAGCATTTTTAAAATTTAACTTTTTGTTTCTCTTAGGGAAAAAAGTAAGTTATGCTTATAGTTACAAAACAAGAAGGATTTTGTCTTGTACCTGAAAATGCCAAGAGGAGAATGTGAAGTACAAGTGTTTATGTAAAATGTACAACTATTCTATTAGTACTCGTTTAATGAACAAATTTTTGGCTCTTTTAATAAATCAAAAATCATAAACGAGGTATCCGTAAAAATGAAATATCCATTTGCGAACAAGATCGGCTCAAATTAAAAATAGTTTCTTTTTAAAAATCACAAAAAATG